ACAGATGGGGGCGTTTCTCAGGGAGAGGGAAGGTGGATTGATTAAGCAGTAACACGTTAGTGTAAACAAATGCACAATGACCAATTTGGGATTTCTTTCCTACTCCCAACAAGTAGGTGTTAGGACACACAAACTGGCTCCTTTTAGCACTTAATATATTTTTTTTCTTTGATGCTGTTTTTTAATTTGCTTGGAGCAAAAGTTTCTTACAGCACTACTTGCTGCCAAGAATTAATCCAGTAATCAGTAATGCAAAGAAGTAAAAGAATTCCTTCCTCAAAATAAAAGGAGGATGAATTTGCAGGTTATTAATTACTTCTTTTATTCAGCCACTTCAGGAAATCATTCAAAATGTAACCTGTATGTAAAGCAGAAACCACAATCGCTGTCTAGACTTGCAGAGGCATTACACACAGTTGCAAAGTGAGCCTAGATATGCAGATAGTCAATTAAAAAAAAAAGGTAACTGTATGAAGTGTATTGCAACCATGATGGAAGTAAAGTATGCCCTAGGTTTCTGAATTGTTTTTAAAACCTGGAACTTTTGCTCTAGATGCACTAGCCACCTTCTTAATACTTTGCTGCTGTGCATCAACTGTGTAGCTGCTCTCCCTCTTTTGTTAGGAAATGTGATGTTGCTAGTAGATTTTTTTGAACCTCTCCTATATGCTCCTTTGTGGAGTCTCTCCTCTGCATAGGGAAGGTGGAGTAGAAACTACGTCACACCTACAGAACAAAGGCTTTGTTAAAGAGAGAAGAATTGCAATTTGCCCAAAGATGGTTAAGATTCCGAGTCAGCCTTATCACCGTATTTAAATGCAGTGATGTTTCGTATGTGTATTACATGACAAGAGGTCTAGCTTTATCACCAGCATGCCTCAAACCTGGATAAACTTTACTCAAATTGAAAACCCTCCAGCAGAATGTAGATCAAAAGACTAAAGGATCTGATGGGTAATTAAACCAGAGGGTGAAGCTGATTATCAAAAGGCAGCACATTATACACTTACATCCTTTCAAATGAGCTGCATTGTCTTCACAAATGAAAACTAAAGTATTGTCAGAAAGTAAACACAGATCCTGCTGCGCCTCTGCTATTAACAAACCAACCAACCCTTGACTAAAATAAAGCTGGATCTGATAAAGCTAACTCTGAATGGTTACCTTGACTTAAATTTTCTAAATGCCATAAACATGCAAGTTTCTCATCACTTTTCTAAAAATAATGATTGCTTTCACTGAACAATGACTTTCTGAGCTACCTACAGCATATTTAGAAATCACACAGAGATCAGAACAGCTCTTAAAGTAGTTTTTCTTTTTAGTAAGAGTCCAAAGGCCAGCTGCATACTTGGCTACCTAATTTTTGAGACAGGGGGCACCATTTTCTATTAAAAAGCCTTCAGTTATCAAGGATTTTCAGAGGGCTTATATCCAGGATTGGTTTCTATGCCTAGTATTTTTTGTGTTTTCTGGCATGAGAGAGATAATTAGCATTTCATATCAAAATTCATGCCTAGATTAAGTATATTAACAGATATATCGCTTCTTATCTGTGTGATCACTACTAATAATAGGTCATTCAATAAGTGATCTAATGATTGGAAAAATAAAAACAACACAAAGATAAGAGCCTAAAAATATTAAGTGTTGTATGCATCCCTCGTATTCTATGTTGCTTTCTTGTTTCCCTAGACTGTGTAATATTCAGGTTTGTGATTGTATCAAATTAGCAAATCAAGTCCTTCATCTCTGAAGGACTGGTGAGCAGTGGTTGCAGATACAATCAATGAGTAGAGCAGAGTCTTTTGGTGATGCTTATTGATGAAACACAATTTTGATATCAAATATGAACACCCAGTGCAGAATGCAACACTGTGTGATTGAAATTCTGCAGTCTCGGAGCAGTTCTTTGGCCTCAATTACATGTCTACCTCCCTATTTGTAATACATAGAGATATGGGAGACAGAACTTGAAATTACTACAGCTGAAGTCATGCCTGCAATCTGATTTCAAGCATGTTAGAGAGTTCGCAGTTGTGCACTACCATAACTCCCACTCGTGCAATGAGCAGCACCCAATACGAGATCATGGCCAGTACTTGGTTTTGATTCCTTACCCAAACAAACAAATATTCAGGACTGTAGGGTTGGGTCTTTTTAATATAATACATATTTTCCCAGTTGGCACACTCAAAACCAAACATTAGTCCTTACTTTTGTAGTGAGATTAAGTAACACATTTAGGCTGGCGAGTACTCGGAACACCCTGCCAGCTGCCCCTTTGTCTTTTACAGATGACTCTTCAACTCATCATGGGTTGTCTCAGCTACAGAGCCCCAAGAGAACTACATACTTCCAGGTGAAAAATCCTTGCCAAGACACTGTAAGTTAAACCTAACACCTAACATCCTACCTAGGACTTCAAAAGCAGTACAAGCCAGCAGAGCTCTAGGAGTATCAACTGAAGAACATATTCTTTAACAAATGAGCTTCCATGTTCTACACCAGCTTCACATTTGTGGTGTGCAATGTTGAAACACAGTGTACTCAATAGCCCGATTGTGGGAGAGAAAGGTCTGGATGTCAGCTGCAAGGTCTAGGAAAACAAGGAATGCAAGGTCATATAGAGATACACAAATGCACTTTGGTGGTTGTAGCTGTTTTCAGTTTTTCAAGATGTTTTCAGCAGCGAGGAATCCCACAGGCCATACCTATCACTTTGACACTGTTCAATTACTATGGCATACAGCCAAACTTTCTGGCCACCTGTGCTGTCAGGGCCTTAAAGCCTACTGTCATGGAGCAGCAAGGGTGGTCTGCTCCACAAGGGAAGGTGGGCCAGCAGCTGAGTGGCAACACAGGTAGGGCAGTGACCTCACTGGTGAGGCTGCAGTCCCACAGTACCTGAACAAGAGCAAAGCAGGTCTGATGATGGTAACCAGAGTCACGCAACACTCCTGTGGTGACGAGGGATGTCCCAGGTCATACCAGGAAGTCAAATCAGCAAGGCAAGGGCAGAATCAGCAGGGTGCCAGGCTGGACACAGGCATACCTGCAAAGTAGATTAGGCAAGGACCTGGACTTAAATGCAACTATTGAGCCAAGGGGCAGAGGCCTCCCATGAGACATTTCATAGCGCTCTCACTCGTCTTTCTCACACACCAGTTGGATCCAAGGTCACCCAGCTGCGGGCAGCCAAACCCCTCAGGGGCCAGGAGGAGAGCCTGGTAGAGCACTCAGGGTGCGGACAGCCATGTGATTGTCAGGCACCTCTGCACCTGGGACACTAGGAAACACTGGAGCTTGTATACTCACCATCACTGAGCCCTGTCCAGAGCAACCTCAGCAAGTCTGAATGACCTACATTCAGGAGCAACCTTACCAGGTCATCAAAATGTATCTAAGAGGGCAACCCCACCAGACTCACTCTCAAGCATGATGCGCCTATGTGGCACAAACAAGCGAAGGGTTCTGCTTATTTACTCGGCTGACCATGCTTCTGTATCACCAAAAGATACCCTTTTAGGCGGTGGCTCTGCATCACAGAGGAATCTCCCATCCACGTTCCCAGGGAAGAAGCACATCCTAGCCTGCCTCCCAGCTTAGCTGACAAGAGAGAGTCGATGTTTAAACATGAACATGTAAACTTTTGTTGTTCTTCCCCAACATTTAATTAAAGACTACCTTTGCAAAATAATACCATGTGTTTGATTATCCTTATAACTTTGTCCAGACAGCATGGCACAAAAAGATTTGTAGAGCTTTAGCACTGCTGTTCCCCTCTGCCTCAGCATGGCGCTTGCTAAGGTAGTAAAGCAATTAAAATTGTAGTTTCCTGTTTTATAAAACAGGCATGATCTATATGTTTTGATACTTAGACAGCACCATAAGATTAACTCAGTGTTTCAGTGTTTTCTGCAGTCCAGATTCAGATTCCCAGTGTGACGGCATCAGAAATGAGCAAAGTAAGGTAAGATGAAGGATATATAATAGATAAAAAGAGAAAAGTTCACAAATGTCTTCCCATCAGTCACTCTTTCTCTCACAATGACCATGCCATGATTTCCACTGAGTAACAGTTGACTAAGTTATTGATAGTAATGAATGTTCTCTGAATCCCCTTCCAGAAGGGGAATAAATAAAGCTAATAAATCAATCCACAATTTCAGTGAACGTTTGATGAAAGGCAGCTATCCAGTGCACAGGCTAGAGAAGACAAGTAAGCAATACAGCCAAGCAAGAAGTAAGAATGCTTTTCTTCACAAACCTAGGTTCCTTCACTTCAAATCCACATCTCTTTTTTCCTCTGCCCTGTACCCATTCAAAGTAACCCTGTAGTCCACATATTAAGGAAACCCTATTAGACTGGACTCTTTAAGGTCATGTTCTTGTATATGATTTCCTTCTACAGTCCATAAGCTTTATGGTACTCTCACCAATTTAAAGTTCAGTGAGTCAGGAAAGTAGCACCTCTGTGTTTCGACTTCATGATTCTGCTTTCACTCTATGATGCCTGGTAGGAAAAAAAACCTTTTGGGTTGGAGATAATAATAAGCAGCTTCTGCTTACGATTTAACATCAGGAGGAGAAAAAAACCTCACAGAGAAGCTAACAATTCTTCAGTAGTCAGGGTAATTATTACCAACAATTCATAACATACCACAGCTAGCACAGCAAAACTCCCACTCTTAACTGTATTTAACTTTGTTCATTGAGGTCAGCAGAAATCTTTTCTCATATCAAAGCCCAAAGGGGGAATTACCAACAAATTCTGGCACACAGTTACATTCTTTTCAAATACACTATTATACATCATAAGATTCCTGAAACTAGAGAACTTTCCATAAAACTCAGACCACATTATTCCAAAAGGTTTGGGGGGCAGGAGGAAGGGGGTGGGGGATGGGACAAAAAGAAAAAAGTAGTAATACAATTACTGGGTAAAAATTGTGTCTGTTCTAACTTTTAATAAAATTAGAAATCCTGTATCGCTGCCTATTTATGTATGCAGAGTATGAAAGAATATATTTATGGGGTTACAAACAGAAAAATACATTCAAGGAAATTATAGCATTGAGTTATGTATATCTGACAACACTATTCACTTTGACATAACGTGTACTAAAGAGGAACTAAGTTCCACTAACAGTTGACTCAAAGAAGTTACCTGCACAAGGCCTAAGAAACAACATTAACTGAACAATAATGGACCAACAGAGTTTAAATGGGTAATCATTGTACCATAAAAAAAAAGCACAAGTTGTACAATAGCTATCGTACTTCTTCTGAAAATAGATTTCAAAGTTAGAGCTAAATTTTAACTTGGGAATATAAAAATAATGCTTCTTCCTCATGTTAAACATGTCTAAAGACATTTAATTTCAAGTCTACTTATGTACTAGTCTAAAAATACACATATCTCCAAAGTAGAAACAAAGTCCGTGTGATGAAGAATAGGCCAGTGAAAATTAAGACATGAGATACCAGATCGCCCTACCTGTACTCTGTCCATTTACTTAGACCTCGTGGGACTACCCTATCAGTATGGAATGAAATCTTGGTGCCACTAATATCTGCAAAAGATGCACCAATGATATCAGCAGAGAAAAAAGTTTATTCTGTGTGCTTCAAACAACTGCCACTTAGGGAAAAAAAAAAAAAAAAAAAGAATGCATTCAAAGTGTCTGTTAGTTTCCTCTTGATTTAGAATTTCCTCCAAAATTATACTGGCCAGAGGCTCACACTGACACCTTTGCTTTGAGGCTAAAGACAGATATAAGGTCTGGCGTTAACCTTAAATGTTTCATAAATGACTCACTACACATGGAGGAGAATTCTAGGTATTCCAGAAGAGGAGTATACATTTGACTCAGCTCTGAAAGGCCCCCAAATAATAGGACACTAAAGCTGTAGCAGCTTTCTACATAGAAACTAATTTTACAACTTTCTGGAATGTTTTAGCTACCCTTTTCTCATTCTCTGAGGCTGAGGAACTATGAAAGTAAGCCACATGATAGAAAAGTAACATTTTTTAACCATGATATGGTTGTAAACACTTTAGAAGTACCCTTTTTTGGCTGAGACTGGGCACTTTCAGCCTCATATAGCATAACAGTTTAACAGAAGAGACATTGTATTTTTCACAACAGAAATAGATGAATTAATTATTTTTTACCAGCCTTTTCCAACACCTAGGACTGGCTTCTACCTTTTAGACATTATTTTTATAATGATCATTTTTCATAACTGTCTCAACAAGGTTTTTGTGAAGTGCTCCAAACAATACTATCTGGAACCTAAATTATACAATAACTGTTTTGCAACATTCCATAATTTACTTCTCTAAGCTATAGGCTAGAAAAAAAGTATAGAAAATAAAATGGAACTGAAAATGAGGCACAATAAATTTCTGATTAGAGCCTTCCCACCACCATTTTTGAAATACTGATGAAGTTTTTATGATCTTCAGCCTCCAGCATTTCGTACAAAAGTATCTTGTTCTCTTATTCATTTTCATCCACTTCCAGTAATAAGCAGGGTCACCTGCGTGATCTAAAAGACAAATAGTTGTAAGAAGCCAAATAAGACATATGAACATCAACACTGAAACAATTTTAGAAGTCACAGCCTGTTGCAGGATAAGATTTTGTGATCTGTATTATGCAGGTGATTAAACTCCCATAATGATGTGTTCTGGGTTTAGTGATCTATATATTAACTATCCACATTAGCACTTATGTTTTGAACCTTAAGTTCTGCAAGTCTTAATGCAAACATTAAGTTTTATAGTGTCTGCTACTCTCTGTTAGTATGGGTTAGGAGATAGTTTTCAGATGGAAATTTAATTTTCAAATGCTTATAAAAACAAATAATCCTGGCAGTAATACAATAAGAAGCCTAAGACGGAGATACAGTTTCTGTATCAGTAAAATTTTATTCAAAACAGAAAAGAAAAATAATCCAAAAGAGTGGATTTTCCAACACAATAAACATCAAGACCACAGTTCTCTGTGTGAATACAAAGTTTTGTCCATGTGCAACACCACTGACTTCACTGTTTGGAACAGTCATCATCAATAACTAAATATGCTCTTACGAAAATCTGCAAACTGTATCAAGTTTCAAAACTTGCTCTTAACAATTTGACTCTTTCTTTAGATATCCTCTTTTTCTGCTGCTCAGTCTTTTTTGAGAGCAGGAACAGGACATCAGGCTTTCATTTTTCTTTCAACATATACTTCCCATATGAGAAAAAAAGAGAGGCTATTATATAACTTTGGGTACTGAAAATGCTGAAGTACAAAACTAAAGATACTCTGATTCCAAAGCACATAAACAGATGAAAACCCATCAGTTCCACAAACATCCACTTGACCCACCCCAATTCAAAGATTTCTAGGAACCTAAGAAAAGCATGGAATTGTTGAAGATTATATAGATGGAGACAGTTTTCAACTAGGTTGAGATGCAGATCAGTAAAGAGATAAGCACTGTTCTAAGTGTGTCACCAACTTCCTATGCGACATACATAAGTGCTGTTGACACTTTTTTCCTCTAGTAAAATTTTTACAATTCATGATTTAAAATGGAATTTCTACATAGCTGCCTATTTTTTTTTTCCTGAAGACAGTAATTAAATAAAATACCTCTGATTATTTTTAACCAAATGGGTATGCAAATGGAAGACATAAGAAAGTTGTTTTAATCTCTAAAACAATTTCTTAAAATACATGACCTGGTCTCATAGCAAGCTTAGACCTAACATGACAAGTGACTAAGAAGCTGAATAGCCTCAGCTTTGACTGATTTCCTCCGCAGTCACATGGTTCAGTTAGTCTGTAAAGTTCATAAAAAGAGACTCTCATAGACAAAAATTATCCCAATGGTAACTATCCCATCATCTCAGTTTGCCACCTGTACACATGTACTCTTTACCGAGGAGGAAGGTGGAATCTTCTCCTCCGATCTGGATGTCCAGATTCATATTCTCTACCTGGAGGGAGTAGGAGAGGAATTAAATATTTTTAATTAACATTAAAGCAGGAAAACAAGAGCTTACTCAGATATCTGCAAGAAGAATTACATTTATACATATTTTGAAAAAAGAGCATGTCCTTTTCCGGTTGGTGTATAATTATGGCTAGTATTTTGAAATGTGGGAGGATAAAGTCCATGATGGCATTGCTCTTCTTAAAGCTCTTGGGCCACAGTAACTTTTAAATCTAGTCCAGTTAATGGGTTGCAATAGTGAATCATACAGGTCATACACTGTGGTTGGTAGATCAGACCGTGTGAATTCAGGAAAGGAAAATACACTATTGATAACCAGACATAAAATACATTGACTAATATTTTCATACTGGTTTAAATGTGGCTGTGAACAATACGGCTTTAGTTATAGAATCCTATATGCAAAGTAGTACTACAACTGTAAAGAAAATCTTTTTTTCAGTACCAAAGTTCTACCAAGTCCCACCTACATTGCAGTTCTATCAAAATCCTATTAATCAGAAACATGCTTGAACACAGATTATGCCACATGAGTGTGGAAGCCTTGATTAAATACCTAGCAAATGAAAAATCTGCTACAAACTCAGATCCTTCGGTACAGTTGTATTACATTCACCTATACGGTTTACAGGGTGCTAAGACTGAAGTGAATGTACCCTTTTGATGCAATTACATTCCATGAAGAAATGGGACTCTGGATAATTACCTTTTGTCTTGGACAAAAAGAGTTTCTCTTGAGTGAGACATACCTCCAACAATTTATTTTTTCCACATCTTTCCTTGATACTCATCTTTCCCTTCCCCTGAAAAACTGCTTTCAATTTTCCATAAAAGCTTTTCTCCAAGACCTTGTTTTTAAAGAAAAATAAAACTCTTTTGAGAAAGTCGTATTTTCTAAGTTGAATTATTTAAAAAGCAAAAGCTGCCCATTTCCCTTTTTCTCTTCTTTTCAAATAGAGAGATGGAATTAAAAAAAACAAAGAACATAATTTTCTTAGGCAGGATATAGTTGACCCCCAAATCAAAACACTTCTAAATGCAAGTATGAAATTGTCACAATGCTTCGCTATTTCCCCATCTCACTGTTTATGACCCTGGTGGTAGATGACTTGTAGCTGAAAGTATCATCCATTACTTCCAGCTCTCTGACAGCTCTTATTCAATAATGAATACCTCAACCCTCCCCTGGGTCCGTCATACACAGAGTTCTGATGTTTACCTTATCACCAGCAGAAATTCTATATCCTTGCCAATACCTTTCACTATTTCTAATTTATTAGGGCATCCCTGATTTCAAACATTCATGTAGCTGTTACAACCAGTCCCATAGACTCTCTCTCCCCTATCTCCTTCCCTTATCTTCAGCTCACTTTCAGACAGGTTTTGAAACACTAGTATGAGAATCACAACCCAAATCGATGAAATTTTAAAATATAGCTATAAAAGACAATGCATAGACAAGGTTAGACTTACTTTTTTATTTTCTTTTTTTGCTATCTTTTGTACATTGATTTAGATGTAGGTGGTAATTTGTATGCTATGACAAACAATCTCAGTGTTTACTGGTTGGACTGCTGAAGAGTGTGACAAAGACACATGACACTGAATAGTGATTTTCATAGTTCTTAGTGCTCAGTTTATTTTTACCTATTTGTAGAATGAGGTAACAATGTCATTCAAAACAAAGTATTAGTGGTCTTAACTGGTAATTAATGAAGTTTTGTCTACCAATAGGCTATATGGCATTTGGTGTGGTGTTTCAGCCACGAACCTAGAATCTGTAGTCATGCTTTATTACAGACATCTATGCTACCTCAGGCAAGACTTTTAAAGTCAAAGCACACAGATTACGAAGTGCTGCAATGCAAAGTTTTACATATTAATAGAGAAGCCTAACCTTAGCTTTAAATTAGACACATATAATCTGTTTAACAAGCATCAGAATGGACAGACACTCAGAATGGGATACACAAAAGTCAGCATGCTAAATGGGAAGACTTCTACATTAACAAACAAGAAACACTAAGGGAAAATCTACCTCCCTGTGAGGCTTAGATGTGCTGGTCTGAGTTACATGGATGCACTCTCCATTTCTGACACACAGCCAAGAAATTTATGAAGAGGACTTAAATAAATAAAATCAAACCAACCCAACCCCTCACTCTCAAAATACAGCTAGAGGATGAGATGTTAATTACAACAGATTGGTGGTTAGTATTCACCATAAAATGAGAGATGCCTAAGTTCAATTCTCATTCTGCCTGAGGGGATTCAAACCGTCATCTCAGTGAAATATCAGTGCTTCTTAGGTTTATGCTTTCTG